AAGAGTTGCTATGAATATTTTGTAGATGTGTGTTCTTTTCCTTTTTCTTTGATACTTTGGGATACAGACCTAGTAGTGGTATTGCTGGATCAAAGGGTATGTACAGTTTTATAGCCCTTTGGGCATTCTTCCAGATTATTTTCTAGAATGGTTGGACCAATTCACAATTCTACCACCAGTGCATTAGTGAATCTATTTTTCCATATTCCCACCAGCATTTGTAATTTTCCTTTTCTCTTATGTTAGCCTCTCTGATAGGTATAAGGTAGTACCACAGAGTTGTTTTAATGTGTATTTCTCTAATCAATAGTGACTTAAGGCATTTTTTCATGTGACTATTGATAGCTTTGATTTCTTCTTCTGAAAATTACATGTTCATATCCTTTGGCCATTTATCAATTGAGGAATGACTCTAATTTTTATAAATTTGACTCTCTTCTCTGTACATTTGAGAAATGAGGCCCTTATCAGAGAAATGTGATATAAAAATTTTTCCCAAAAGGACCTACATGTACAACAATATTTACAGCAGCTCTTTTTGGGGTGGCAAAGAATTGGAAATTGAAGGGATGCCCATCAGTTGGGGAATGGCTGAACAAGTTGTGGTATATGAATGAAATGGAATACTATTGTGCTATAAGAAATGATGAGCAAGCAGATTTCAGAAAAACCTGGAAAGACTTACATGGACTGATTCTGAGTGAAGTGATCAGAACCAGGAGAACATTGTACATTGTAACAGCAAAATTGTGTGATGATCAGCTGTGATAGATGTATCTCTTCTCAGCAATACAATGATCTAAGACAATTCCAAAAGCCTCATGATGGAAAATACTGTCCATATTGCAGAGAAAGAACTATGGAGTTTGACTGTAAACCGAAGCATACTATTTTTACCTTTTTGTTTGTTTGTTTTTTCTTTCTCTTGGTTTTTCTCATTTGTTCTGATTCTTCTTTCACAACCTGACTAATGTTGAAATATGTTTAATATGATTGTACATGTATAAACTATATTGGATTGCTTGCCATCTTGGGGAGGAGAGAGGAAGGAGGGAGAAAAAAGTTTGGAACTCAAAATTTTATAAAAGTGAATGTTGAGGGGCAACTAGGTGGTGCAGTGGATAGAGCACTGGCCCTGGAGTCAGGAGGACCTGAGTTCAAATCCGGTCTCACATCAGACACTTGATACTTACTAGCTGTGTGACCCTGGGCAAGTCAGTTAACCCCAATTACCTCACACACAAAAAAAAGTGAATGTTGAAAACTTTCTTTACATGTAATTGGAAAAAATAAAATACTATTAATTTTTTTCTCAGTTTCTGTTGTTGTTCAGTTGTTTTTCAGTCTGACTCTTTATGACCTCATTTGGGGTTTTCTTGGCAAAGATAATGAAGTGGTTTGCTATTTCCTTCTCCGTCTCATTTGACATATGAGGAAACTGAGGCAAACAGGGTTAAGTGACTTACCCAGGGTCACACAGCTAGTAAGTGTCTGAGGCCAGATTTGAATTCAGGAAGATGAGTCTCCCTGACTCTAGGCCCAGACCTCTATCCACCTTACCACCTTTTGGGTGCATTGGTTTTGTTTGTATAAAAACATTTTAATTTATGTAATCAAAATTGTCCATTTTACTTCCTGTGATCCTTACCATCTCTTGTTTAGTCATAAATTCTCCCTGATGTGACAAGTAAATTTTTCCACGCTCCCCTAATTTACTTATGATATTACCCTTTATAGCTAAATTATTTACCCATTTTGACCTTATTTTGGTATGTGGTATGAGATGTTGCTCTATGCTAATTTCTGCCAAACTGCTTTCCCAGTTTTCCCAGCAATTTCTGTCAGATGGTGAGTTCTTGCCCCAAAAGCTTGGATCTTTGGGTTTATCAAACGCTAGACTGTTAAGGTCACTTACTACTGTGTGTTAAGTACCTAATGTACTTACCTGATTCACTGATTCACCACTGTGTCTTAGCCAGTACCAGATTTTTTGATGATTATTGTTTTGTAATATAGTTTGAAGCTGGCCTCTTGCCCCAATTTAAAGAAGAAGAAAAACCCCTTGCAACAAATATGCATAGTCAAGAAAAACAAATGCCCACACTGGTTATGTACAAAAACGTATGCCTCATTCTGAACCTGGAGTCCCTGACCTTTCTGTCAGGAGCTGAGTAGTGGTTGATAATTAAGTTGCTAAGAGTTCTTAAGTCTTTCCAAGTTACATGAATTCTTAATTTTTGTAACACAGTAGAAGCTTTAGTGCTGTGGGCTTCCCTAACCAGAAGCTTAAGAAGCACAGTTCATGTGGTAAGATTGAAACCTCCTGCTGCTGCTGAATAAAGGCTTCAGTGCCATCCACTGAGCTCTGAGCCTTGCTCTCTGAGGGCTCTTGTTCTTCCCAGGCTGCCCATCGTTGTTGCTTGTCTGCTCACAGTTCTTTACACTTGTAAGTGCACTGAATGTGAGTCTCCAAAGGCCACACCCAGTACCCATTTTTCATTGCCATCCAATGGCTGGACATAAGGGAAGATACATAAGCACCCTAAGCCCTTTCCTCTCTCCCTACTGCTTCTTCCCAAATGTGTGCCCCAGCTTTATCCTGTGTCACTTCCTTTAAATGGCTGAACCCAATTCTCCCATCTGCTTTTTGGCTCCTCCCATAGTCTTAACTACTGATTGCTTTTCTCTGCAGCCTGAGCAATTAGCACAGTGCTTGGTACATAGTATGTACTTTATAAGTGATGGACTTTCCAAAGCTTTATTTCTAGGGCCAACCCAAGGCACAGGACTAATGGCTCCTTCCCTCCTTTGAGCCTACCAAAGCAGAATTACACTTAGGTACTGATCAGGCTATCTTTTTCCTCTTCAGGAAATCAGGGGATGGCTCCCTCTTTGCCCACCAAGTGAAATTCATTCTGTTATGCTGTCATTCAAGGCTTTCCATATTCTGGTGCTACCCTGCCTCTCTAGCTTCACCCTATACAAACATTCTGGACCAATTCTTCCAGCCTAAGTGGATTCGTTTTATCATCTCCTACATACAATAGTATATTTAATAATGGCCAGCATTAGTATAGAGCTTTAGAGTTTGCCAAATGCTTCACAGATATTAACTGATTTTATTCTCACAACTACTTGAGATGGAAGTGTTATTATTATCATCATTTTACAGATGAGGAAACTGAGGCAGACAGAGGTTAAGTGACTTGTCCAGCATCACAGAGTTAGTAAGTATCTGAGGCGGGATTTCAATGCAAGTCTTCCTGACAGCCCTCTATCCACTGAGCCACCAAGCTGCCTCTAATTATTACTTTGTGCTTTCGTTCAAATGGTTAACCTATGCCTAGAATGACCTCTGAAAGGGATTGGCAAGGTTTGAGGTTCAGGCTGCAAAAATCAAACATTCCAGCTAAACAAAAGAATGATTATTAACTTGTGTGGGATCTATAAGGTGGTGAGTGGATCATTCCTATCCATCCTTTTAACTGAAGCCTTTCTTAATTTCCCCAGTTATAGATGACTGTTCTTACTCTGACCTCTGACATTTCTAGGACTTCCTTGATGCATTTATCATGTTAATGGTTATTTGCATACATGCCATATATCCCTAACAGTGTGTAAGCTCTGTGAGCAAAGAGATAATGTCTTAGCTAAATTTTGTATGTGATCCAGTATTTGCTACAACTTTACATCTAATAGATACTTGATAAATGTTTTTTGAATTAAATTGTATTGAAATAACATGAGATTTTAAAAAGATCTTTAAAAAGTCTAATAGCAATGTAGCACAAAGGACATCCTTAGTTGAGTCATACTGTAAACAAAAGCCTTTCTTTGAAACTCAGGACCATGCTTTGTATTCCCTACAAATGGCATTAGTAAATCCTTCTTGATCAACTTGAGTTGACAAAGCTTTATGGAAAGGGTCAACCCAAGGTCTGCATTTTGGCTTTGTAAAGGTCTTTCCTATTATACTCCTTCTCCAAACTGCTGAAGATGTAGAGATAACATATTCTGTCTCCCCAAGTCAGTTCAACAAACGTTTGTCGACACTATACTGGACTCCTGGGGCAAGCAGAGGTGAACAAGGCACAGTCCCCACTCTCAGGATTTACACAGTAGCAAAGAACATAAGATAAATTCACAGATATCTCTATACTTGAACTCTCTCTAGTCTTCCAGTCTTCCATCTCCACCTAAGGTTACCTGCAGCAGGATATGGTTGCCCCTTTGGTCTGTCAAATTTAATATACTCCAACCCAAACTTAGTGTCTAGTAAAATACAGAAAGAGAAAAGCTGACTTATAAGCAAACAGGATAAAAGAGAAAGACTAGTCCTAGTTGGGGGTTTTGGAGTGGGACCAGAAAGGCCTCATGGAAGAGAAGCAAGATGGATCTTGAAGGACAGATAAGATTTCCATTGTCAGAGATGACAAGAAGGGGTTCTAAGTAGAAGGAATGGCATTAGCATGGCCAAGGTGCCTGAAACATTTATCATGATCAATGAAAGTGAATCTCCCTTATTTACCAGCCACAATCACAGTTATATCAGCCTACCTAACCATAGAGTGAAAGAAATCAACTTTCTTTTCCAATATGCCCTGCCCAAATATTAGCTCACCTGGACTTGTGTCTTACTTATAAGCAGATGGATGTTTATTGATGATGACGGTAGTAATTTCCAAGATGGTAGCTAATGGCCCAGTGGATAGAACACTGGCCCTGGAGTCAGGAAGACCTGAGTTAGTATCCAGTGTTGTCAATTCCTAGCCATGTGACCTTGGGCAAGCCATTTAATCTCTGTTTATGTCAGTTTTCTCAACTGTAAAATGAGGATCATGATAGTACCTGCCTCACAGGGTTGTGGTGAGAATAAAATGAGATGATATTTGTAAAAGCATTAAGCATAGTGCCTGGCACATAGTAGGTGCTTCTTAAATGATTATTCCCTTCCCAAATGCAATTCTGGAAGATAGTCACATCTGTTTTCTTTGTTTTAGGTATTCTGAAGACAACAATACCTCTGTTAAGTTACCAAGGTCAGGAAATAGGATCAGCTTTCATGTTTTTGTGTAAGGATAGGGATCCCGATTCACCAAGGTATGTCTCATCCTATGGTATTATGTTGAAAAGCTCAGAGTTCTGTGACTGTTTCCCCTAAGGTGAAGTAACATTCTGTTTGCCCATTCATTCATTCATTAAAAATTTTCATTTAAATATTTGTTAAAAATCTTTTATTTTATAAACCCAAGAGCCAAGCTTTTAGAACAAAAACTCATTATTTAACAAAAACTACTGGGAAAACTGGAAAACATTATGACAGAAGCTAGGTATAGACCAAAATCTCACACCGTATACCAAGATAAGGTCAAAATGGGTATGTGATTAGGCATAAAGGGTGATGCCATAAGCAAATTAGGAGAGCATGAGATAGTTTACCCATCAAATCTATAGATAAGGGAATAATTTAGGACCAAATAAGATAGAGATACATTTTACATTATAAAACATAAAATGGATAATTCTGATTATATAAAATTAAAAAGTTTTTGCACAAACAAAACCGGTGTGACCAAAATTAGAAGGAAAGTAGAAAACTGGGGGGGAGGAATTTTGCGACAAATATCTCTAATAAAGGCCTCATTTCTCAAATATATAGAGAACTGAGCCACATTTATAAGAATACAAGTCATTTCCCAAATGATAAATGGTCAAAGGATATGAACAGGCAATTTTCAGACAAAGAAATCAAAGCTATCCATAGTCATATAAAAATGCTCTAAATCACTATTGATTAGAGCAGTACAAATTAAAACGACTGTTAGGTACCACCTCATACCCATGAAATTGGCTAATATGACAAAAAAGGAAAATGATAAATGTTGGAGGGCATGTGGGAAACTGAGACACTAATGTACTGTTGTTGGGAGTTGTGAACTGATCCAACCATTCTGGAGAGCAGTTTCAAACAATGCCCAAAAGTCTATAAAACTGCATACCAATTGATCCAGCAATACCACTACTAGGTCTGTATCCCAAAGAGATTTTGGGGTTTTCTTTTTGCTTTTTGGTGAGGCAGTTGGGGTTAAGTGACTTGCCCAGGGTCATACAGCTGGTAAATGCCAAGTGTCTGAGGCTGGATTTGAACTCAGGTCCTCCTGACTCCAAGGCTGGAGCTCTATCCACTGTAGCACCTAGCTACCCCTCCAAAGAGATTGTTTTCTTCAATGTACTCTTCTGTTAATTTTTGTCCTTCCTTCTTCAATTGGCCAATTGTGTTTTTTAGGGACTTGTTTTCTTCAGTGTATTTTTTTTCCAACTGGCCAATTGTATTTTTGAAGGACTCTCTCATTTGACTATTAAAATCCTTCTCGAGCTCTTCTAAGAAAGCTTTTTGGGCTTCCAACCAGTTCATATTCCCTTTTGACATTGCAGATGTGGGTTTGTTGACAGTGTTGTCCTCTTCAGAATTTCTGTCTTAATCCTCACTCTTCTCATAATATGAATCTATGGTACGTTTCTTTTTACTCAGGTTTGTTTATTCCTTGGCCTTTAAAGAGATTGAGCTCTCCTGCTGGGGAACAGAGGGCACTGACCCAAGCTTCTTGTGTTAGGAGCCTAGGTCTTGGTCACTGGCTTTGTGTGCTGGGGCCTCTTATGCTGGCAATTGGAGGCTGTAGGTTTCTGGCAGCTTACCTCATGTTGGGCTGGAATCAGCAAGGCTGGAACTTTCAGGCAATTCTAGGTTGCCTGCTTTTCCTTTCCTTTAGCTTTCTTCAGCTCCTTTAGGTGGGTGCTGCAGGGTGTTTATCTGCCTGGGGCCCCCTGCAGTGTTGTCTCCCTCCTTTCTGTTAATGCACTGGGAGATTCCTTTGCGGTAAAGTGCCAAGGCAGTGGTGGTTTTCTGAGCTGGTTTCCACCAGTTCCCCCCACCCTCACTGAGGCACTGGGAGGTCCAGGTGTTGGTGTTTGCCTGTTCTACCACCTGGGCTTCAGGATTTCTTCACAATTGGAGGCTGCAGGGCTCTGACAGCTCACCTGGTGTTGGGTTGGAACCAGCAAGGCCCGGGCTTTAGGAAGCCTTTGGGTTGTTTTCTTCACCTCCTTTCAGATGAATGCTGCAGGGTACTTATCTGCCTGGGGCCGCTTGTAGTTCTGCCTCCCTTATTTTTGCTGAGGGACTGGGAGACCTGTTTGCTGGGCTGCTGCACTGCTGTTCCACGTCTTTCTTCTAGTTCAGCTATTCCAGGGTTTTTTTCTGGGGTGATATTTTCTGGGTTTTCAGAGGTTGATAAGGGAGAGTGAGTCCAAACAGACTGTTAAAAAGGTAAAAGAACCTATTTATACAAAATATTCATAGCAGCTCTTTTTTGTGGTGGCTAAGAATTGAAAATTGAGGGGGATGCCCGTCAATTAGGGAATGGCTAAACAAGCTGTGGTATATGATTGTAACAGAATGTTATTGTGCTATAAGAAATGACAAGCAGACTGATTTTAGAAAACCTTGGAAAGACTCACGTGAACTGATACAAAGTTAAGTGAGAAGAACCAGGAAAACATTGTACACAGTAACAGCAATATTGTACTAAAACAATCCCAAAGGACTCGGGATGAAAAATGTTCACCTCCAGAGAAAGAACTGATATAATCTGAATACAAATTAAATCATACTTTCTTTCTTTCTTCCTTCCTTCTTTTCAGTTTTCTTACATAAAATGACTAATATAGAAATATTTCTCATGATTACACATGTATAACCTATATCAGATTGTTTACTGTCTCTTGGAGGTGGAGGAGAGAGGGAGAAAGGGAGGAAGGGATAGAATTTGGAGCTCAAAACTTAAACAATGAATGTTAAAAATTGTTTTTACATATAATTGGGGGAAAAATAAAATATATATTTTTTTTAAAAAGCCTGTTATGTTCAAGGCCTTATGCTAAGTGCTGAAGATAAAAGATAATGACAATATGGCCCCCACCCTCAAACAGTTTACAACCAACTAATGGGATAAGGAGTAATCACATATATATATATATGCCATATAATAATTATATACATATATGACACAAGATAGTGTGTGATAGGGGCAAAGCTGTATCTAAACAAAACATTAAAAAAACAGAAAGGGTGATGTTTTCTTTCAGCTTAGAGGACAAAGGAGGTATCTGAACTGACCTTAAAGGAAGAGAAGTGTTCTGACCAGTATCAATGTGAAAGATGTGCTTTTAGCTATGGAAATTGGCCTGTACTTGGTGTAGAGGCAAGAACACATGGGATGATATTAGGGTGCATGAAGGGAAGGAGAGTGAAGTAAATCTGGAAGAGCTGATTAGATCCAGATTGCAGAGCATCTTGTGTCAGAGTAAGGAACTAGAGGCAATAGGGAGGTTTTTGAGCACAGGAGTGACATGGACAGTCTTGTGCATTAGAATGATTGTTTTAGTAGCTATGTGAAGGATGGATTAGTGAGGGGGGATGGACAGGATACAGAGAGATCAGTTCAGAGTATATTAAAATATTCTAGGAAAGAGGATGTGAGGGCCTGAACTAGGGTGGTGGCAATATGACTGGAGAGATGAGTATGGTTATAAGAGATATTAGGGAGGTAAAATTGACACGAGGGGCAGCTAAGTGCCTCAGCGGAGAGATCACTGGGCTTGGAGCCAAGAAGACTCATGTTCATGAGTTCAAATCCAGCCTCAAACCCTTACTAGCTGTGTGACCTTAGGCAAGTCACTTAACCCTGTCTGCCTCAGTTTCCTCCTCTGTAAAATGAGCTGGAGAAGGAAATGGCAAATCACTCCAATATCATTGCCAAGAAAACCCCAAATGGGGTCATGAAGAGTTGGGTACAACTGAAACAACTCAACAACAGAAACAAAATTGACCAGATTGATCAATGATTGAATAAAAATTTTTCTGAAAGATTCAGCTTAGGTACCACTTTCTCCATGAATTCTTTCCTCATATCTCCAGTTTTTAGTGTTTCTTCCCCATCTCAAGTTTTCCTAGATCATTTGTCTGATCTCTTTACCTCTCTTTCTTTTTTTTTTCCTGTGTAATATTTATCTGGGTTCATGTAAAAAATTAGAAAATTTCCAATTTCAAAAGAAATTGGAAGTCAAGGCAGGTTTGGGGAAAAAGATGATAGATTCAATTCTGGATAAATTGAATGTGAAGTGCCTGGCAGCACATCTAGGTGAAAATGTACAGCAGATAGTTGGGAACGTGGGGCTAGAACTCACGGGAGAAATTGGGACTGAATATAAACATATGGGAAAGTGCTCACCCAAACCTATGCAAACTGATGAAATCACCAAAGGAGAGAGTGTAGGGAGAAAGGAGAAGACAGAGCCTTGATGAGCAGCTGCACTTAAAGGGTAGGAGAAAGAATATGACCCAGTAAGAGGTAGGAAGAGAAACAAGAAAGGCTGTGGAGGCCAGAGTACCAAGAAAGGGGAGGGAGAGTCAGAAAAGGATACAGAGAAGGCAGGTCAGACATGTTGGAGGAGAACCAGAAAAGATTACTGTCAGGAAAGAGGAAGAAGTTGATCAACAGTGTCAAGCTCTGTAAGAAGTCAAGAAAGATGAAGACCAAGCAAAGGACATTGAGCTGAGCCATGGATAAGCTTGGGGAGAGCACTTTCAAATGAATGGTTGGGTAGGATGCCAGATTTTTAGGATTTAAGAAAATGAGTAAAACCTGAGAAATTGGTGGGTAACTGCAAGGACGGACTTAGGCTATGACAGGGAGGAGAGCTATAGAACAATAGCTTGAGACAACAGGATTAAGTAAAGGACATCTAAGTAAATTTATGGGCATCAGGGAAGGGACCAGTGTATAAAGAAAGAGAGATGATTAAATTCATTTCCTCTTTCCTCTTTCCTCCAGATGAAGCTCAAGCACTATCTTCTGTATGAAGTCTTTTCTGATCCCCCCAAATACTAGAGTCCCCTCTCCCAAGCTACCTTGTATTTATCTTTATTTGTATTTAGACTATTTATATTTATTATGTATATACTTACATATGTCCTTGTCTTCTCCATTAGAATGTGAGCTACTTTTGAGTAGAGAGGGTTTCGTTCTTTATATTTCCAGTGCCTAGCACATGGTAGGTGGTTTATAAGTAAATGCCTCTTGATTGATTGAATATGCAAGATGTGTGAAAACGTGGTGAGGTTTTGAGTTGGGGAGGATGGAAGATTAGGAGGCTTATGACAGATGACTTCAATCTTATGGGTAAAGAGGAAAACTAGGTTTTCTATTTCTTTCATCTGACAAAATACTAACAACTATATTCTTTCAGAATATAGATTGCTGAGTAGGGGCAATAGGGATAAAGACTGGGCTTGTGAATTTAATAGTATAGAGAACTCCCAGATGAGAAAAAGCTCTCTACCAGTGCAAACCAGCCGCCAACTAGGAGAACTTATTTTTGCTTAGAATGTAAACAATCTAGTCTAGGTGAATTCCAGCCCCAGAGCTCTGCCCTTGCACCCCTTCATTGTAGACTAGGGTAACCCAGCTCAAGAAGAAGAAAACCAACCAGAATGGTCTGGGTAGAGAAATAGATTGCTTTGTCAGAATCCTGGAGGCAACTGAATCTCATGATCAAGCCACATTCTCAGCAGGAGGAGCTGAAGACCTTTAGCCCACTTACTCATTACTATGCCCACCCCTTCATTAATTGTTCATCAGTCAGGATTGATTTTCACCTGTCAGTACTGAGAGACTGTGACTCTCCCAGGGTCACACTGGCAGCACATCTAGGTGATGAGGGCTGAGAGGAGACTTCTCTGGTCTCCTTGGTTTCAAGGCCACCTCTCTCTTCATTGTGCCCAGTTGCCTTACAAAAACAAACAAAAAACCCCATTTCCTTTATTCCATAGGAGGGATCCTAGCCCCTCGGAAAGGGTAGTGGGCCACATTCTGTAATGGCAAAAGAGTAAATTGCTTTCTTTGGGGGAAATGCATTAATTCTTCCAGACCAGAAGGTACCAATTAGTTAATTGCCTCTTTCCATAGCAAAGTGGCCCCTTCTGGCCTGAAAAATCAATATACCTCTGCACAGTGTGTAATTTAATTCTCCTTCTGTGGAAAGGTTCAGACAGAGGGAGCAGTGCTGTATATTCCTTCAGGAAGGAAAGGGCATATTGGTCTGAGTGGGGATTCTTATTTTAAACTGATTTCTCATTTTAGCTGCAATAAGACCCAGAGGGAAGCAGAAAGCCAGGTGAAAGCTGCCAATCTCTTCTCGCTCAGTTTAACAACACATAAATGGAAGTACCTGTTACCTTTGCAATAAATATCCCTGTATAACATAAAGTTGCCAAGCCCCTACCTACTCATTTCAAGCAATATTGGTGCTATAAAATCCCAGCTCAGCAAAAGAACATGGGCCTGTCCCTTGACACTTATTGCAACAGGATTGGACAGGTGGGAACATTCTGAGTCAGGGTCCTTAAAGATGCTTCTACTCTGTGCTTTCTTTGATGACATAAAAATTAAGTTTCACAGGAAATGTCCAACTCATTTTTTTCCTCTGGGACCATCCCATCTTCTACTTCAGAGCTTCTCAAGCTTTATTAGTCTTGCTTCTTATGGCCACACACCATAGAGATATTACGATCATCGCATTATAGATTTGGAGCTGGAAGGGACCTTACAGGCAATCTCATCTACCTGTCATTTTGCAGATATGATCACCGAGGCTGACAAGTTAGGAGATTTGCCCAACATCATAGTTAGTAAGTGGCAGATCTGAGAAGGTAATTCAAGACAAGATTACAGGATCGTGAATTTAGAGATGTGGGGGCCTTAGAAGTGGTCTGAACCAACTCTTTCATTATACATTTGAGGAAACTGAAACCCAAAGAAATTAAGTGATTTGCCAAGGTCGCACATTTGCAGAGGCATAATTTGAACTTGGGTGCTCTGACTCCAAATCCAGCATTCTTGCTACCATACCATTCATTCTCTGTCCCTTCTGCCTTACAGCCATCTATTCATCCACACCTTCACTCTGTAGCCACATGCTACATATATAAATACATGGATTCCACCCCTCCCCCCAACACATCTTCCTTCCTCTCTCTACCACAGCCATCATCCCTTTAACCCTCCAGATTAAGGATTGGCAAAGGAGAGTGAGGGATTCCAGTATTTTGCAACAAGTCATAAACATCTTTGTTTCCTAACAGATAAGCCCCAGTGTCCTGTTTAAGGAGCAGTGGTTAGCTTGGACGTATAAAAGTAAAAGGGGGCAGCTAGGTAACTCAGTGGATAGAGCACGGGACCTAGAATCAGGAAGATTCATCTGGCCTCAGGCATTTACTAGCTGTGTGACCCTGGGCAAGTCACTTAACCCCGTTTCTTAATTTGTAAAATGAAGGAGAAGGAAATGGCAAATCACCCCAGTATCTCCTGCCAAGAAAACCCTAAATAGAGTCATGAAGAGTCAAGACATGACTGAAAAATGACTGGACAGCAATGATAAAAGTAAAAATCACTTTAGGTTTTATTTGCTTGTGTCCTGCCAAAGGGGATTTTCAATGAATAAAAGTGTCCTTCAGTGGAGGATTGAATGGGGGAAGGGGGAAGATGTAGAGATGGCAGTAGGATAAAAAGCACTGCTTAGACTTCTAACTTCACAGAGAGTACTGGGGCCCCAGCCAGGCCAAAGCACAAACAGTGGATCCCAAGTGGGTTGCTGAAAACCGGAAGAATGTAAAACTAGATGGGGTTTGGTTCCACTATCATGTATCATTAATGTTGTTCTTCAGTCACATCCTACTCTTTGTGACCCCATTTGGGATTTTCTTGACGAAGATACTGGAGTGGTTTGCCATTTCCTTCTCCAGTGGGTGAAGGCAAACAGAGGTTAAGTGACTTGCCCAGGGTAACATAGCTAGTACGTGTCTGAGGCCGGATTTGAACTCAGGTCTCCCTGACTCCAGGCCCAGCACTCTATCCAAATGAGGGGAAAATATCTGGCAGAACTCTGGGGGGCAGGGACAGTGAGGTACCAGATCTGAGGAAGGGACCAAGCTAGAATGTAGGAACCAGGCTACCAGTGATTGATGCAAGGAGCATGGAGACAAGCCTAGAGGAATGACCCTGACAGGGGTCATCCAGGAAGCAAGGACACCCTAAGCCCCCTGAGGTGAAGCTGCAATGAATGAGAAATTGCAGTCAGAGTCAGGACTAAAGTAAAATTTCTGTGAACTGGCTTTGGGTTTCTAACATACTTCTTTTGATTAGGTGGGATCACCCCCCCACTCTCTGTAAGACCTCAGACAAGTCACTGCCCATCGATGAGCCTTAATTTCCTTATCTAAAAAATAGGGATAATAATAGCACCTATATCCCCAGGTTGTTGTGAGGTTCAAATGAGAAAATAATTGTAAAATGCTTAGCACAGTGCCTGGCACATAGTAAACACTATATAAATGTTACCTATTATTATTCTTGTTATTACTATTATTATTAATTATTTACAATTCTAAAATGGGGGCTTCTAAAGAGTTTTACTTTTTAAAAACTGCTTCATATATATATATATATACACACAAACACACATGCATATTTACATTTGTATACATATGTGTATATGCACATACATATGTGTATGTCCATTTGGGATAATAGATAGATAGCAGGTTTAGTGTATTGGAGCCAGGAAGACCTGGGCTCATGTCTAGTCTCTGACATATACTGGTTGTATGACCTTAGACAAATCACTTAACCTCTCAATGCCCTACATACTTCTCAAAGGTTTTAAGTTACACAGAAGGTGCTGACCTGCATTGACAGAAAGACTTCCCTTATTCACTAGTTCCGTATAATAATGAAATCATAGAACCAATCTCTCTCCCTATGTATTTATACCAGCAGCTTGTTCCCTTAAGGAGATCACCCCTAACCTGCTTCTTTCCTTTCCTTTCTGCAGATTTGATCACTTAGTGGCTATAGAGCGCTCAGGAAGGACAGCTGATGGCAATTATTACAATGCTCGAAAAGTTAATATTAAGCATCTAGTTGACCCCATTGATGATCTCTTTCTTGCTGCACAGAAGATCCCTGGAATCTCATCAACTGGTAAGAGAGCATGGAAAACTTGGACTAAGAGAATAGTGTCTCAATATGGAACACTTCCTCTTGACTGCTGGACCAAAATTTGTTGTTGTTCAGTCATGTCTGATTCTTCATTACCCCATGCACTTTATCCATGACATTTTCTTGGCAAAGATAGTGAAGTGGTTTGCCATTTCCTTTCCAGTGTGTCCCCATTTTATAGATGAGGAACTGAAGCAAATAGGGGTTAAGTGACTTGCCCGGGATCATATAGTTAGTAAATGTCTCAGGCCAGATTTGGATTCAGCTCTTCTTGACTCTAGGCCTGCTCTGGACTCTAGTCCAGCTGTGTGACTCTGGGCAAGTCGCTTAACCCAGTTGGCTAGGCAAAAAAAAAATTGCCCCCTCATTTATCTGGGGAATGGCTCTTATACTTATGTGCTTGTATCAATTCCCTAGATAACTTGGATATCAGACTTTTATCAGAAACCTGTACTGTGAAGATTTTCCCTACTCAGTTGTTTCCCATTTAACTACAGTGATTCTGTTAACGCAAAAACTTTCAGTTTTATGTAATCAAATTGTTCATTTTATCTCCTGTGAAACTCTCTCTCCCTTCTTTGTCAAGAGGCAAATAGGGGTTAAGTGACTTGCCCAGGATCATATAGCTAGTAAGTATCTCAGGCTGGATTTGGATTCAGATCTTTGTGACTCTAGGCCTGGACTCTATCCACTTCTGGACCAAAATTAGGACTACTCACAATAATTTACTTTTCTATAGATTTATTTACAAAGAGCCAGCCTATATATCAGGAGTTCTTAATCTTGTTTGTGCCATGGACCCCTCTCAGAAAAATGTTTTTTAAACACATAAAACAAAATACAGAGGGTTACAAAGGAAATCAACTATATTGAAATAGTTATCAAAATATATATTTTAAAACCAAGTTCATAGATCCCAGGTTAAGAATCCCTGTTATATATTATCTCATTTTATCCTTACATAACCATGTGAGGTAGGTGGGGCAGGTGTCATTCACCAGTGGGCACATAAGGAAATAGACCCTGAGATGAAGAGTGATTTCCTGAGATTACACAGCTATTTAGTGTCAGAGCCCAGATTAGAACTGATATCAGGAATCAAATAACTATCAAAGGCTACCCCGGGGAGAGAGGAAATCTACAAAACTGATCAGTACATTGAAAAGTCTGAAAATATGTGCAATGTACAACATCCATGGACCTCCCACCTCTGCAGAGGGGTAAGTGGGAGCGTCTCCTCCTACCTCTTCTTTCGGGCCATATTTACTCTTTGTAATTCTGCAACATTCACTTGGGATTTTTTTTGTGGCTCTTCTTTCCATTTACATTGTTGTACTCATTGTGCATGTTGTTTTCTTGACTCTGCTTACTTCGTCCTGCATGAGTCCATACAAATCTTTCCATGCTTTTCTGTATTCATCATATTTGTCATTTAATACAGCACAATAATATAGTTATATTTATGTACCATCGTTTGTTTAAAAAATAAGAAACACCTCATGAATGTGTGTGTGTCATCCTTGCGTGCGGCCATGCTAATCTTCCTGTATTGTTCCAGTATTAATATGTGCGCTTCCAAAGTGAGTATAGAACAGAGCCGTCCTTCTAAATGATATCCACAAGCATTCAAAAGAGTTTAACTTAACTGTCCACAAAGAAAACCAAGGAGATGAAGAATACCTCTTGTTCAGGCTATGATATGGCATTGACTGACCCCTAATACTGCTGCTCCATCACTACTCCAGCCAGATTCTGCAGATGGACAATGAGCAGAATTAAACAGGAGAAAGAGGAGAAGATTGGATTGTATTTGGAAAATTATAGGATGCTTTGCATGGCTTCAAGCTTCTCTCCTCACCTTAATTCAGCAGACATTTAGTGAGCTATTTTGTTCAAAGCGATATAAATAAACAAAAATAATCCCTGATCGCAAGATGTTGCCATCCTACTGGGAGGATAGGACATACAGATAGATAAGCAAGTACAAAATATATACAAAATCATGCAATAAAACCCCATCTTTCAAACACCAGTATTCCTCTAATGATATTATGATTATGAAACATGGAATACTGATCACCAAAGAATAAAACTTCTAGTCATCCAAAAGGCAAGATGGGGTAATTAGGCTAGAGCATATTTTTTAAAAATTTAAAAACTTTACTAATGCTTTTCGGTTTTATGCCACTGTCATTTCCTGATATATCCATTCTGTGGATTTCTCCTTTGTAACAAGAGAAAATAGTTAAGTAGTGATAATAACAATAATAGCTAGCATTTATATAGAACGATGCAAAGCCTTTTACATGTTTTAACTCATTTGATCTTTACAAACCCCTGGGAATTAGGTGGCGTTATCATATCCATTTTATAGATGAGGAAACTGAGGCTGCAGATATTAAATGATTTGCCTAGGCTCATACAACCAGTTTGTATCTGAGGCAGAATTTGAAATCGGGTGTTCCTGACTGTGACTATAACATTCTATCTGTTGCTTCAGACATTTACTACCTGTGTGACCCTGGGCAAGTCACTTAACCTCTGTTTGCCTTAATCCACTGGAGGAGGAAATGGCAAACCACTCCAGTATCTTTCTTTTTTACAAGAAAACTCCATGAACAGGATGGTCCACAAGGTCATGAAGAATTGGACACGACTGAATAACCATGGTAACTTGGGTGCTCTGGAAGACAGGATACTTCTGAAAGGGTTAACACAGCTCCCAAAGAGATGCAGTCTCTTAGGGCAATGGGAAAATTAGGCTCATCTTCAACTCCATCTGAAGACTCCAAAGTATTTCCCAGTCTCATTAGTCCTCTCAGCTGCCTCTGAGGTTTCAATGAGACAATTAGGTGCCTCAGAGATGATTAGACAATGACTGTAAATTGCTTTTGAAATTCCCAGAAAGGCTGCTCCAGAAATAGAGGGCAGCATTTCTCTTCTCATTATTGCCTCTTCCTCTCTAGCACCTGGCCTCCTGAGCTAGGGGGAATTTGTATTTCCAGGGAGGAGAAGGTTGGATAAGATGATTGGCACCTAGCAGCCTGGTTTAGTAATCAAGTGTGGCATGGTAGGGGACAGCTAGGGTGGGGCAGTGCTGGGCCTGGAAGTTAGGAAGACTCATCTTCCTGAGTTCAAATCTGGCCTTAGGTACTTACTAGCTTTATGACGCTGGGCAAGATGCTTAACCCTATCGGCCTCAGTCTCCTCATCTGTGAAATGAGTTGAAGAAGGAAATGGCAAACCACTTCAGTATCTTTGCTGAGAAAACCCCAAATAGGGTCATGAAAAGTCAGACATGACTAAAATAACTGAACAAGTGGCATAGTAGAGAGCCCTAAGATTGTGTTTAGGAGACCTAGGTCTAAATTCTTTGATTATTAGTCATGTGACGTTGGACAAGTCATATCTCTGAGGCTGAGTTTCCACGTCTATAAGAAGAAAGAGGCAGCATGGTATAGTATATTTGAGTGGTTCACAAACCCCTTGGGGGTCCACGACAATGATGCAAGGCTAATAATTCCTTAATCATGCCTTAGGTAGTAAATAAGTGCAGAAATTATGAGTAACACATTGAATTATCCTTAATTTAATTATCCTTTAATTAAATTAACATTAAATTAGCCCAGTTTGTTGTTGTCATTACAAGGGTTCACAGAATAAAAAGCATTGAGAATAGCAGAAAGAGCTCTAGACTTGGGAGTCCAGAGAGACCTGGGGTCAAGTCCTTCCTCTGACATTTGTTAGTTTTGTGACCTCAGTTTCCTTAGGTGTAAAATGGAGAAAATAATAGTGCTTGTCAGATGATATAATGTATGAGAAGCACTTTGTGAACTTTAAAGTGTTATGGAAATGTCAACTTTTGTTAAAATGGAGTTACTTACTTTTCAGGGTAATAGTGAGGAAAGTACTTTATAAAATATTATGAAAACATGAGTTATTATTATTATTTCTGTGGTCCCCAGTGCACTAGTCAGGGGTTCTTAGTTGGGGTCCACAGACTCCCAGAGGGGTTTCAAAGGGTCTGCAAATTTGGGTGAGAAAAATAATCTTTATTTTGATCAAGCTGTAACTGAAATTTAACATTTTCTTAAATTATCAAAATATTATTCTGAGAAAAGGTCCTTAGGTTTCACTAAACTCCCAGAAGATCCATGACCAAGAAAAAGTTAATAACCTCTGAAGCGGAGGTAGATGCTGTGGGGAAATTCTTAACTCCTCTTGAGGAGTTAAGCTTTCTGAGGTTGCTGGTGATAGACACGAAAACTCATCTAGTTAAGTAGCATTAAGAGCACCAGTTTGGAAGACAGGAAAGCTGGACTTTAGTGGTGGCTCTGCTATTGAATTGTTATGTGACTGAGCAACTCACTCCTCCCTGTTTGAACCTCATTTCCTCATCTATAAAAATGAGGGGAGGAGAATTAGATGATTAGAACAGTATCTCCAGTTTTTCCTTCTAATGTTCCATGACTCTAATCAAGCAGCCCCTTCCATATGTCTTTCCCTACCTGATGCTCCCTTTTCCTCAGGTTCCCAGTCCCTAGATATTAACTGTGCAGTGTGTAGTAAAGGTGTAACCAACGGCCCAGTGCCTCAAATTCTGGGCCTATTCACGGTGAATGACACCCCCCCCCCCATACCACTCTCTATGGCTCATTATTTCCCAACCAAGAGTTTGCCCTAGGAAGTCTTTAAATATAATTCCCATCTGGTCTCAATAGATTTGAGGAACAGAGTCCTGAAATCCCTATACAGGCACTCAAAGTAATAAGCAAATGTTAGGTTAGTACGGGACAGACTTAATTCCAATTTACCAAAAATGTAGCCATTACAAAGGAGCCTACAAGCAATGCAGACACTTAAAGGACTCACAAATTCCCATAAATGGATCAGTATAATTTTCTTCCCTTGCTGGAGTGAGTCTTACCCTGGGGTCCTGAAGTCTGATACTGCCCTGTAGTTTAGTCTCCCCTTTGTAAGGGAACCAGACTTGGGGTTGTCAGTGGGGTGATACCTAACACTTCATTAACTTCCATGTTCCCCAGTGATGATGCAGGTCCCCTCCCTAAGCATTTCGTAGCACCTCACTATAAGTCAGACATCCTCTCTGACACTCCAGAAAGAAAAGAACTTGGGCTACTAGACAGGCAACGTTCTGACATTCGAGTACATTTCACTTTCATGCTACAGAGACCCACACAGACGTTTAGTACTACTGTGAGGGAGATATGTGGGGCATTCGGGGAGGACTAGCACTTCTGAGGTGAGGGCTTGCCAGGCCCTTTTCAGGGCGCTTATCCACCTTTGGGGTTCACTTTCACCCAATTCTCACCTGTGGTTCCAAGAAGCTGTAGCATGCACACAGGCCACACCCTGGTAAAACCTTCTTGGCAGACAGGCTAAACTGCGTCGAGGGTAACTAAAAGGCCTCAGACCTGTTGGTTAGTTAGGGAGATGTCTATCCCCAAGCACATGGAGACATCCCCCGGTGGATTAGGTGGATGAATACAATTTGTTCCAATGGCTATAAAGGCGGCCGAAGCAGTTGCTCTGGAGTGCTTAGAGCTTGGCCAGACATCAAAGATGCCAAAGTCATCCACTGTATCTTGGGCCATTGTTCTGACTTTTGTCTTGCCACTAGACTTCAATGACTCTGGAAGAGAGAGTGAGGCTGGCGGCTCTGTGCAGCTCTGCCTCACTTAAATCCAGTCACGAGCAATTCAAAACATCACCCTGTGACATCATTGGTCTTCTTTGAAAACAATGGTATAAACAACAAAACTGAACAAATGTGATTCATTATTATTACTGTTATTATAGCAACCTACCCAGGCCTTCCCTTCATGCCACAAAATGATTCTTCCTTCTTCTACCTCGTCAGAATCCCCATCTCCTCAGGGTCCTCTCGACTCAGTTTCAGAGAAAAGATGGACTGATTAAAATCATTCATACCAAGTTATGATGAACTAATACCAATATCCCTCCATCTTTCCACTCCCAGAAGAGTTGGAGTGGCAATTTCTTTTTTTCCCCTAATTTATTATTTATTTATTTTTAGCCTTTTTTTTCATTGAGTTCCAAATTCTTTCCCTTCCTTCCACCCCTGTCTCTACCCATTGAGAAGGCAAACAATATAATATCAATTGTACATGTTAAATCATGCAAACCATATTTCCATATTAGCCATATTTTTTTTTAATCCAGAAAAATAAAGCGAGAAAATTATACTCCAATTTACACTCAGAGTTCATCAGTTCTCTCTCTGGAGGTGGATGGCATTTTTCATCACGAATCCTTTGGAATTATCTTGGATCATTGTATTGATCAGAGTAGTCAGTTCTTTCAACAGCTGATCATCATTACAACATTTCTGTTGTACACAGTGCTATGTACGATGTGCGCAATGATCTCCCGGTTCTTCTCACTTCACTTTGTATCAGTTCATATAAGTCTTGCCATGTATTTCTAAAAACACCCCCCTCTTCATTTCTCATAACACTGTAGTACTCCATCACATTCATATGCCAGAGACCTTGGGCAACTTACAACTCTAAGCCTCAATTTCCTACTCTGGAAAAATAATTTTTAAAAAGCAATAATAGCTAACATTTATATAGTATTTACTATATGCCTGGCACTGTGCTAAGCAGTTTACAATTTTCACCTCATGTGATCCTCACAATGAACCTGGAGAGGATAGGTATTATTATTATTATTATCCCCATTTTATAGATAAGGAAACTGAGGGTAACAGGGGTTAAGTGACTTGCCCAATGTCACACAACTAGTAAATATCTGAGGTCAGATTTGAACTCAGGTTTTCTTGATTCCAGGCCCAGCACTCTATCCGTTGCACCAAAACAACAGCCAGCATTTATGTAGTGTTTAAGGTTTGCAAAGTGCTTTACAAATATGGTTTCATTTTTTTCTCACAACACTGGGAGGTAGGTGCTATTATTATCACCATTCTACAGTTGAGAAAACTGAGACAGAGGTTAAGTGACTTGCCCAGGACCACACAGTTAATAAGTGTCTGAGGCAAGATTTGAACTCAGGTCTTCTGACTTCAGGCCCAGAGCTCAATTCATTATGCCACCTAGTTGAAAAGAGCTGGCCCTGGGATTTAAATTGATCACTCAGTCAACGAGCATTTTACATCAGTGAAGGAAACAACATATAGCTAAGTAGAGATAAGAGACTAGACCTGTGATTTCACTGATACAAGAAACTCCCAGATGAGGAAACTGCAGGGCAGCACTTCCCCTATGCCTGGGTCACATAAGCTGCCTCTAAATACTTCATTTACCTCAACTGACTGGTGTGATATTGTTGTTTTTGTTGTTATAAGAAATGACCTTCCTTCTTTCTCTAGTTTATGAAATTGATCTATTTATCCTTTTGCCCTTCTAACCTAGGTATTGGTGATGGAGGGAATGAACTTGGGATGGGAAAAGTCAAAACATCTGTGAAGAGGCACATCAAGAATGGGGACGTCATAGCTTGTGATGTGGAAGCTGATTTTGCCATCATAGCTGGTAAGATGCCCACAGTCAATGATAAGCGTTCATTAAGCACCTGCTACATAGCAGGCACTGTGCTCAAGGCCCTCAAAGACCTAAGGAGGGAAATGACATGTACAAAAATGTACAAAAACTAAATAATCAGTAAACATTTATTAAGCACCTACTATGTGTCAGGCACTGTGCTCAATGCTAGAGATACAAAGAAAAAGAAAATATAGTCCCTGGCCTTAGGGAGCTTATAATCCAATGAGCAAAATGCAGAAAAAGTAGAAATTATATAATCAAGCAGAAAACATTTATTAAGAACCCACTATTGTGCCAGACCCTATGCTATACACCCAAGATACAAAAAAAGGCAAAAGGCAGGATGTATAGGATAAATAAGAAGTAAGTAATAGGGGGAAGGCACTCGAATGAAGAGGAGTTGGGGAAAGCTTCCTGTAGAATGTGGGGTTTTAGCTGGGACTTAAAGGAAACCAGGGAGGTCAGTGGTCCAAGCAGAGGAGGGAGAGCATTCCAGGCGTGGGGGACAGCCAGAGAAAATGCCCAGAGCTGAGATGGAGCATCATGTTCGTAGAATAGCCAGAAGGCCAGTGTTACTGGATCAAAGAATGGAATTTGATTTTCAACCATTATGATTGTATATATAGTATAATAATTATTATATAATAATATATTTAATAAAAATAAATATGAATGTATTTAAAATAAATATAATTATGTTATTTTAATATGATTAAATCTAATATATGGTGTGCTGTATATAATGATGTGATTATATTATGATTGTATATGATATATGTTATGTTATACATAATTATATACTAGTTCACATTTATATAGAGCTTCATGGTTTGAAAGCACTTTCCTCCTAACACTCCTGTGAGGTAGGTAGGTAATGTAGGTATTATCCCATTTTACAGAAGAAGAGATGGAGGGTCCAAAGGGCGAAATGATTTGTCTAAGACAACACAGTAAGTGGGAGAGTTAGAACACAAAATATTCTGTCACCAAGTCGAGCACCCTTTCTGCTCTAAGATTAGTCAAAATGGTCAATTTCTTAATTTTGAGGGTTATTAAATATCTAGGGATGTGGTGAAATTCCTTCTTCTGGAGCTCGGTATAAGGACTGGACCTCTTCTGCCCAGACAGTTTAGAGGTGATTCTCCCTAAAGACAAGGACGTGAAGCAAGCCTATTTCTGTAGTCCTGTGATTTAGAGTCTGTTTTCTGTGTCAGGTGTTTCCAATTGGGGAGGCTATGCTCTGGCCTGTGCGCTGTATTTACTGAACATAAACAATATACATGAGCGCTACCTGCGGAGAGCTGTTGGATTACCCACCCCCTCATCGAGAGCAGCAGCCTGGGCTCAGGCACTCCCATCTGTCATAAAGGTGAGGTACTAGCTCATTGTATATAACATAGGGTGGTGAGAGGGAAGTTGATCCCTCCTGTGACGGAGATTGCAACCTTTCCATGCTGATCCATCCTATGAGACTTTTGTACATGGCCTCTCAGAAGTTTACCACATGGGCCCACTCAACTTTCTGGAAGCTTTCATCTCTTTCTCTGGACATCCCGAGGATACCAGCGGTATACTTGGGCTGTTGATTTGTTATCTCTGCCTCTTGACACTTAACCAGCCCATCTTCCGTTCCTATCATACATTTCCTAAATTTCTATTGATTATCTTTTAGTCCTGTTCCTCTTTGAGGTTTCTGTTCTCACCCACCATATACCCCCCTCCATTGCTCTCTGGATGATATTTACTTTCAGTTCTTTGAAGAGACGCCAGTAGAATATTGGCATTGAAAAGATGAACCTTTGTTTCCAAAGGAAGCTTGGGGTCATTAAAAGTACGTGGCAGTTTCCTGAAGGCAATTTATCCTGTTCTCCTCCTCCTTGTTCAACTCTGGATCCTATACATTGTTCATATACACTGTCTGCCCCACATTCCAAATACTTACAATCTCCAAGTTATGTGTAATGAAAAGCTTAATGAAATCAAAACCATGGGGGAATAGGATGTGCCATATATCATCCTATCTGCTGCTGGAATTGTTCCAAAGAACCTTTCAGTGAGCTTACAGAAGATGAGCTCACATCATAATACTTTTATTAAATTACAAAAAGCAATTATTTTATCTACCTGTACAATATAATCTCCAGAACGTCAAATGTAAAAGAATAATAGCAGAATATCAGCTTTCCCCAGAATTGCTTCTGTCCAAGCATCATTGAAAAGATGAAAACAGGATTCTTAATAATAACAATAATTCATTGATCCATGATCTCATTGTCGAGAGTATTCACTCTATTGGTACAAATGGCAGTCCATCCATGTCTTCCCAACTTCCCAAGCTTTCCTCACCTCCTCTTGAGTCTAGTGGCTTCCCCCTGTTAATTATTTCTTACTTATCCTATATATCCTATCTTTTGCCTTTTTTTCGATATCTTGTGATTTTTGTCCCTGTGCATCTACGGAGTAGCCACCTAGAGAGACTCTCTTTTAGGCCTTTAAATAGTATGTATTAAAACTGTGGAATGAAAATTAATACATGAAATAATGATAGATGAATACAAAACAAGTGCTAATGTGTGCGGGGGCAGGGAGTTGTAGATGACAGAAATTAAGTTCTTTGGCAGAGCAGATAAAGGAGAGAGCATTGTGGGCTAGCGTCATAAAGGAAGGCTTTATGACGACTTGAGTTGAGCCTTGAAAGATGAGCAGGAGAGAAGAAGGAAGGGCATTTCCACCAGGAGCAGAAATCCAAATCCAAATTGCAATCCAGAGATTGTGAAGAGGATGGAGGGAGGGAGGTACCTACCCAGTGGGATGGACAAAGGGAGGGAGAGAGGAATTAGGAGACCAGCCAGCTTAAGGTAGAGAGTTTGTGGTGAAGATCTAGTTTGAATCAGATGGCAGATAAAAGGGATGATGGGACAAATTATGGAGAACGCAGAACACTTGATTGAGGAATTTGAACTTGGTCTGATAGGCAATAGAGAGCCATTGCAGGTTTTTGAGCAGAGAGGGTACTAGCACAAGTTGATCTCTCCTTTTCTTAACCAAGATAGACAGCACTTAGAGTATATCTTTGTGTTATTGGCATTACATGTCAGGAGGAATATTGACCAACTGGAACATGTGCAGAGCAGGGCCTGGAAGTCAAGTCACATGAGGATGGGAGAGGGAATGAGGGATGGAGAAGTAAAGACATTAGAGGAGTAGGAAAGCTGTCTTCAAGTCTGTGAAAAGCTGTCATTTGGAAACAGGAGTATTATTACCAATATTCACAATAATTAGCATTTATTGTTAATAATAATTAGTGCTAACTAGCATTTATATGAACTTTAAGGGTTGCAAAGCACTTTATGTATAGCAACAACCCTGTGAGGTAAGGGCTATTTTTATCCTCATTTTACAGAACAGGAAACTGAGGCTAAGTGACTTGCCCAGGGCCACAAATCTAAGTAAGAGACTAAGAGAGGATTTGAACTAAGGTCTTCCTGATTCTTGGGCAGGTAGGTGGATAATGCACAGGAACTGGAGTCAGGGAGACCTGAGTTCAAATTCAGCCTCAGACAACTTACTGGCTGTGACCTTGGGTGCAAGTTCAGAATAACAATCAATCAATTGTTGATTGATTGGTTGATAGATGTATCTACTGTTCCAAAATATGTGAGGTCCATAGTGGTAGGTGTAGTTTGTCTAAAAATTGTTCAGGCTAAGCCTAGTGGCGTTTCATGACCAGAACTCAAGAACTGCTGGATCCTGCCCCACCTATTGAATGAAAGCTTGGAGACAGAGGCTAGATAACCACCTCTTTATCAGAGGGTCTTCCTGTGTTGGCTGGGAGGTTGGACTGTCTTCCATCTTAAGCTTCTATAATCCTGGTATTATCAGGACCACCGATTTTTTTTCATTTAATCAAGAACTGTCCCCTTGTTGTCAACAACAAGGAAGTTGTTCCAAACTTCCTAACTTCCTAACTTCCCAACCAGTATAGAAATCCATGAGGGCAGAAAGCTGCACACCTTATGCTTGTTTAGAATCCTCCACAGTACTTAGAGGACAGATAGGTAGGGCGGTGGTTAGAGTGCCAGGCCTGGAATCTGGAAGAATCCTCTTCCTGAGTTTAAATCTGGCATCAGATACTTACTAGCTATGTGACCTTGGGCAAATCACTTAACCCTGTTAGCCTCAGTTTCCTTATCTGTAAAGTGAGCTGAAGAAGGAAATGGCAAATCAGCCTAGTATCTTTGCCAAGAAAACCCCAAATAGGGTCAGGAAGAGTCGGATAGGACTGAAAAAAGAATGAACAACAATATTTAGCACAATTGGAGTACTCATTTAATTGTGCTTGTGTATGAATGAATGAATGAATGAATGAATGAATGAATGAATGAATGAAGCATTTATTAAGCACTATGTGCAAAACACTGTGCTAAGTGCTGGGGATACAAACAGGAAAGTGGGACATCCTCTTCTCTTAGGTAGCTCACACTTTAATGAGAGATACAGAACATGAAAGGAAGATTTCAGCTGCAAGTCAGATGCAAAAATCCCATGGACCTTGGGGTAAAGAGACAAAGCAAATTTCCATGGATAAAACCAAATTCGTTTCTGATGGTGAACCATTTGACAGTGTCAAGGACTTTTGTGACGAGAACTTTTTTTTTTTCCCTAGGTCTTAGGTGTAGCTATAGCTATTGAAGGAATAGTCATCAGACTGCGTCCCAGGATGCACTGCTGTTCCCAAGGCTCTTGACTTTAGAGTCCCGAGCTGTCTCCACCAACGTCTGAGGGGAGCTGATGGTCAGGGTGGCAGTGGTGCTTTGATTTGCCTGGCATATGCTGCCTCCTGTCTCTGTCAGGGTGCCTCAGCTAGGCTAGCTTGCCTGCCCTGTGTGGTGGTTGGGTGGCAGTTGGTATCTTATATGATTTTGGAGTTATAAGGACTTTAGAAATTATCTTGTTCAGCTCTCTTATTACAGATGAGGGATCTGAGGACCAAAGAGTGCAACTGACTTGACCACTGTCACACTGATATCAAGAGATCAGGTGCAGAATTTGAACCAGGTACATTTGATTCCAAATCCTGGGCTGTTTGTACGACATTAGCCTACCTCCAGATACCCAAGGACCACTTGGATGAATGATGAATAATAAAGTGATCTTAGGAAGATCGGTTTAATGGTTTGTCCAGAATGGACTGTGATAGAAGGAGCCAGGAGGCCAGGATGGATTCATGCTAAGAGAGTGCCTTCTAGTCTTAGAGGCTAATAGTGGAACATGGCAGCTGCTACATTTCTCTTCATGTTCAGACAAGATGAGCACAAACAATGTTACACGGATCCCTAAGCCAATAACTATTTCGCAAGTTTTTCAGCTTCCATTGACCATCTAAGCAGCTTAAATTAAAGTAGTGATTGTTGTTGTTGCTTTGTGCATTGGCTGTTTCTGACCCTTAGTAACCCCACTTTGGGTTTTCTTGGCAAAGATACTGGAGTGGTTTGCCATTTTCTTCTCCAGCTCAGTTTACAGATGAGGAAACTGAGGCCAACAGGGTAAAGTGACTTGTCCGGGTTCACATAGCTAGTTAGTGTTGAAAGCCATATTTGAACTCAGGTCGTCCAGACTCCAGGCCTGGTTTTCTATCTCACCACCTAGATGCCCATAAAGTTCCTAGTAGAAAGCTAATCTGGAGACTTTATCCTCAAAGCTGGAATATATATTTGAACATAGATAGGATCATAGGATTGAAAATGCAACAGCAATTTAGAGACCATCTAAGCCACTAGGCCAGGGATTCTTAATAGGTCTTTTCTTTTGCGCCAGGGACCTCTTTGCCAGTCTAGTGAAGCCTATTTGTGTGACCCTGGGCAAGTCACTTAAACCTGCTTGCCTCAGTTTCTTCATTTGTCAAATGAGTTGGAAAAGGAATCAGCAAACCACTCCAGTATCTTTGCCAAGAAAACTCCAGATGGAGTCAGGAAGAGTTGGACGTGACTGAAATGACTAAACAACATAGACCCTTTCTCAGAATCATTTTTTTAAAAATGTGTAATGGAAGGAAATGTTAAATTTCAGTTAGAGATTAGTGAAAATAAAATTTTTTCCCCATCTTAAGTTCACTGATCCTCTGAAATTTATCCACACAGGGGTCCATGGACCCCAAACTAAGAACTCATGTAGATCACCTCTCTCATTTTACAGATAAGGACACTGAGGCTAAGAGAGACAGTGTGACCTGCCCAGGGCCACACAGGGAGTAAGTGTCAGAGCTGGAATTCTTACCCAAATTCTGTGGCTCCAAATCTAGTATAATCTTGCCACTATCCCTCAAACTTCCTGGCTCGTGGGAGTAGAGATAGGGAGGTGATTGGGGCT